ATCCGCCCAAAATATCTAAGGACTCGTGTCAACCTCATAGGGCCCTCCCACGAGTCCCACATCGAAAATGAGTACTAAGAGCACACAAGATGCCCTCTATAAATAGGCCCCTTCCACTACAATACAGGGGTAAGACTTTTCAGCTTGACTTTTATACTTCTATATGGTCAACAGCAAGAGCTCTTAAAAACAATCTTACTTGAGCATCGGAGGGTCTTAGGCTGGTTCCACACCGGTTCCATAGACCTCACGAGCTTCGCTTATCTTCTATTCAGGATCGGCATCCAAGGACAGGAAGAATCGGCATCCAACATCCAATCGATCTCTCGATCGTCCATCCCACTTGTAAGTTGCACTCATCTCTATCTGTTCAGATTTAGCGCCAACAACTCTAAAACCACAATTACCATCACTCTTAACATCTTGTGCCCCTCTAATATGTATCAACATATGTTTAGGAAACCACTTGTTAAACTCTGGTCTTAAGCAAGAGTCATCTACAATGGGTTTAGGCCTATAAACCTGCATATTACAATTGCATAAGCCCAAATTACAATATAAACGACAGTATACAAATTTAATATTGTAACTACTTACATGTAGCTTCGAAGGCGGCTTCTTTGGATTCACATATGGCAATGGTTGTGTCTGACTATTGCATACTGATCGCTTTTGGGGTATGGTCTTTGACTTCTTAAGTGGCAGTCTTGTAACAACATTGTCAGTCGAGTATGCACTATCTTGACCAAATATGAAAACCTCAAAAGCAGAAGGCAAACGTCAAGTAGATGTGTCAACTTTTGGGCGACCTTTTGTTTTAATCTTCACCTGGGGTTGTGTAAGCGTGGTAGATGCTGGATTCATAATCTCTTGTAACTTCATACTAACATGTCTCTTTGTCTCAGAACTACAACTTTGAAACCACTTCACAATAATTCTAATTGTGCATTTTCTAGAGGATTGTTCGATGTAGCAGTAGGTCGGGGCTCCAACAAATCTAACTTTCTCCAACGAGGATGAATACAATCAAGTGGAATGGGCCTATGAGTCCGTTTGAACTCTTGCATCTCATGTACACATGGCAATCAGTGTGTGTGTTTTATCATGCAACCACATGATATCGAATCAACCCCAACATAATCTAACCGCTTCAGCTCAACTATAATAGTATCCAACGCAGAAATAGATACAAAACCAATCAACTCCTTGAAGTCTTCTTTCCTGCAGTCATGTTGCACAAATGACAGACTCTTTTCTCAAATAATGATGCCTTTATCTCAGTGTGTTGCAATTCTATTAAAGGATGATTTTTGTCCCATGATGTTCCAAATGTACACATGCTATTACCAAGTTGTTTCTTCAGCTTTCCATGTGCAGTCTCCGCCCTGTATATTGTAGCAACATGTTTCATGTGAAGTAATTTATAATGTATGCTATATAAATATTAACTGAAAATCAATAATAAATACCTATTTTATGTTGTATTCCCAAAATGCATAATGTGTTCGTCCAAGCAGCAACAAATCTTTCTTTATAAGGAATCAACCATGTCTCCTTCACATAGTTGACCACAAAATTGTGATCTTTGAAGTTGGTTTGCAAGGCCAGTAGATGTCTTTCATATTCGGCTTATGTATTTGATGAAACAAGCATATTCCGTGAAATTAAAAATTTGTCTGAACTAGCTTTGTCTTCAAATACATTTTTGCACTTTGCTAAGACTCCCTTATTAATATGTCATGTACATAATAAATGTCAAACACCAGGAAAGACTTCATGGAGTGCATTCATGATAGCTAACTCTCTATTTGTGACAATAACACTAGGAATTGAATTATCATCCATAACACTCCTCAATCTAGCCAATGCCCATCTGTAGTTGTCTTCTTTCTCAACACTAAGATTAACAAATGCAATTGAGAATGTAAGATGTGTAGACGTCATCCCCACAATCTCCAAAAGTGGATAGCGAAACCTGTTTGTCTTGTATGTGCAATTCATGATCAAAATATGAGGAAATGCGCGCAGTAGCTTAATACTTGTAGAGTGAGCATAAAACAAATCACTTACAATATTAGCAGTACCATAGCTTCTATGCCACTCTACATACTCATGGGCAAACAAATTTCGTAGCAATACCTGCATCTCTGACGTACCTGCTTTCTCAATCACCCTGCTTTTTTGTCTAGCATTGTAGATTGTCTTCATTGTGGTCACATTCAACCCATCTTTACGTTTAAGAGTATATAATATATCCTTTGGCCTAGCCAAACTCTTAGACATGTCAACCACTAGTAAATTCTCTTCCACAGTTAATCTCCCTGCATATGAATGCCCTTCCATATTTAGTGCTGCAGGATGGTTATGAACTCCACATACAACCTCAAGTTGCCATGCATCTCCAAGACCTTAGTTCACACCCTTCAATGAAAAGGGCTAACCACACTTCTTCGTACTAGTAGACTTCACACTATTTTTCTTCAGAGGGTTTGAACTTTGATCAAGCTTATGTATTGTCTTGCTATCTGATTCCACAACTTTTTTATTCCTAAATTGACCACCCCTCTCACAACAAAATAGAATCCGACTGGTCTTGAATTTACCAGCTCCTCCAATATCAGACCTTTTAATGACAATCACAAAACCATTCCTTTTCCCTTGTTCATGAGTTCATCTTATTAATGCATCACAACTAACAAATATCTGTAAAATCACTAATTAATATATATATATATTCATTAATTTACCTCGTTAGTGATCAATTCGTTTCTATAGTCTAAAACACATTGTTTATTGATGTCGGTGTCTTACTTAGATGCATCTTCTGGATGCTGTAAAAAAAAAAACCCTCATATTCGTCATTGTTCGGTAGCCTAAACCAAAAAAAAAAAAAATCGAAGTTAATACCTCTTTTGATGACTCCCTCGAAATGTATGAAGCATCCATTCCAAAATTTTAAATGTAACCCAATTTGCAAATCTGCATAATTTCAAAATTACAAAAGAGGCTTTGAAACTCCTTAGGATAGGAATCCAAATACAAAAATAAATAAATAAATAAGCAATTCAAATGGCGCATTACTTTACAGTGGAAAGACCAATAAGGGCAATAATTCCTGAGCTATGCCTCAGGCCACAGTGGAAGAGAAAATTTCACCATATGAGGAGGAAATAGAATTTAATAATCAATGAACTAATTTATATGAAGTTCTGTCATGAAACAATAAACTAAAATAAAATTACACCATGTATACAAGCTTATATGCAAAATTAAAGACTAATTGGATTCTAAAGTGTACAGAACAGATTGAAACATTCATGTTATTTACTCACATCAAGAAACAGCAAGGCTACTTTTTAAGCTGTCAAATCAATATGCAGAACTAGTCGACATTGACAATAGCCAAGTCAAAAGCACCCTTCCAAAAGTTGTCCAATGTCGAGTAGATGTGTCACCGAATAGAAGGTTACTTTTTAAGTTGTCCAATCCAAGTTGCCAAGAAATAGTTCTGAGAAGAAAGAAGGAAAGCTTCATCTGCTCCAAGCTGTGCTAGAGCATAAGGAACTTCGTATCAGAAGCGGAATCAGCAGCACAAGAAAGAAGAAGGAACCCCAAGAAGCCATTCTGACTCGCGGATCACAAAGATGGACACCAAGCAATCTCTTGATTAGGGTTGAATATGGTTGGTAGGGTGTACTTATTAAAATTATATTTGTTTCACAATTCCATATATCCTTTTTGGTCATTTTATATTAGAGTAAATCAGTAATTCAATAAATACTTTTGTAGTAGGGTGTACTCAGTTAATTTTAGGGTTCGTTTACCAGCACTCTAATATAAAATGACTAATTTACTCTAATATAAAATGACCAAAAAAGATAGAGTGCTGCTATTTCCACCCTCTTATCATATTTCCCCACCCACCATGTAAATTCGAAAAAAAAGCACAGTCTTATTTTTCCACCCACCATTATTCCTAAAATACCCTTTAATTATTCATTCAAGCAAATTCTCATTGCCAACAAGAATTAAGGCAGCTTCGATTCCGCCAGTAGTCATCAAATCAGCCTCACCTCGACAAATGTGATTTGCAGCAGCATAGAAATAGTAATTTGAAGTAGCACAAGCAATCGAAACCGAATAATTTGGTTCCATAACACCCAGATCAATACCAAGCAACGCAGACCCCATGTTTGTAATAGCATAAGCGTATAAACCTCATGATGGTTTGAGAAAAAGTCTAACTAGGGTTGTATGAACATATATAGGGTGTATGGAACAAATTTAATTTTTATTTTAAATATTTTTTGTCCTTAACGGTAATTATGTACAATGGTAAAATAGGTTATTCATGTTTAAAATTAGTATGGGATGCAAAGAGCAAATAATGGAGTGCCAATAAAATCACTCTTTTTTTTAATTTTATAACATTTTTAAAGATTTTGTTATTATTATTTTCACACATCATCCCCAATTAAATATCCCTAATTAAATATCAGTATTTTTTAGGTCAAAATCCCTAATTAAATTTAAATATTATAAGAATTATTTTTTAGTCCAACACAACACCAAACATAGGTTTTCATTATTTTTACAATCCAGCTTCTAATTTGCAAGTAGAAAACTTTACAACATTTAATTCAACCGCACGCATGAATCACCAAAAGTCTCTTGTTTAAAGAAGCACCAGAAAAACAATTTCAAATAAGAATCATTATATCATGTTGTGTTGCCAATAATGAATGGAAGAAACGTTTTGGTTTGATGGTAACACCACATAGCATGATATGTGTTCGTTATGGGCGGACAGTGACCTCTGCCTCGACTACGCAAGTATTCATCACCAAATAACCCTTGTCTCTCTCTTTGAAAAAGCCCAACATAATGAAATTAGACCAACCCCAAGACGGACTCGAGGCTCTGAAACAATGACTAGCTGCAAGCACACAAAAAGAAAATAAAACAGACTAATCAGGATTGAGAAGAAAGAGAAAATAAAACAGACTATTAGGTATACACGTTTACCTTGACGAAAAAAATGCTTGGCGCTTAATTGATCTACGATGCGAAGAGTAAACTGTGCAAGTATTTTGGAGGCAGTAGATAACTTTTCTGGATTAGCCAATTTTAAGAAAAGAGAAACATGAGTATCCTTTACATCGTTCATTCCCTTGGGATAGAGGACTAACTTCCTGCAAACAACCAACAAATTACTTTAAAACAGAAGAACTAATTAAACAACAAGAGCTTAATCATCATCACAGAGAGATACCTACCATGTCTGCCCTCCGGCATTGAATGGTTTTGATTCCAAGCATTCGGGTTTTAACTTTGAAAATTCCTCAATCTTCCAAACATACTTGTTCATAAAATCATTGTTTTCTTTCTTATGAATAAAATCATTGTTTTCTTTTGATACAATAACAGCATTGTTGATCCTTGGTAGGCACTCTGCCTTGCCCGCTCTTCTTTCCTTACAAACAAAGACCTCGGCTCCAAACACACAAGTATCATCAATGAGATAGCCATTGGAAGCATCAGCAAATGGTTTCAGAGGGATAACTCTATCGAAACCCACTTCGAGCATCGCCACGTGCAAGCACATCTTCTTTAGATTAGCATCTGATAAGCAAACAAAATTAGAAGATCATGAGCAATTCATGCAACACAAGATATATGAGAATTAATTTCAAACAGATAGATAATATATAATGTATGTATGTAATATGTATACCCTGAAGAACCAAGTAGATTCCCTTATTCTGATCAAGTAAAAACAATCTAAAATCAACAAATACTTCCCAACCAGTCTCAAGTGATTCTGCTCCAGCCATTTCTAGATAGACAGAGATGTGATCTTCCACATTCTTCTTCTTGTATCCCTTTGGGTACACCACCAGTTTCCTGCAGTGATATCAAACATAAAAAATAATAGGGGCATTTCAATATAGACCCAGTCAATGACCAAAATGTAAAAAATAACAAGCAGATTAGAAAAACGATTTACCATTTGTATCCTCCAGCATCAAACTCCCCCGACTCAAATCTATTCAGCTTCTTTAGCAACGAAAATGACTCTATTTTTAGAGTGTAGTGAGTTGGCGGTGTATATGAAAATGGTGATGAAACCCCTGCAATGCAACAATTAAACATTTTATTAATTAATGGCAACAACACTAGAAGATACATATATATATATAATTTTCTTGCAAATGTGGGTTAAACCAATTGGCCACGGCATTACCCGCCTCCTTGCATGCAAGTTTAACACAAGCGCATAGGTCGACAACAAGAATTATATTTTACGTACCATCTTGCTCAAACTCAAGATTAGCCATGGCAATTGACCACCGATCTTCCTTCTATAGAAAGAAAGTTATGGAGGAGAGATTAGAGTTCTTTTCCGATAGGAATACGATTTTATATATTCAAAGATTATTCCTCATATTATCTGACACTCCCTTATTAATGCGACTATTTCATTAAATTATTGGGTCTGATCCTAAAGAGGTGATGACAAGTTTCTTAATAAATAAATAAATACAGTGACATAAAATGTGTTAGAATATAATCAAGAGGATCACGTGTTAAATGCACCTAATGGTTAGGCTAGTTAGTTGCTGAGCTGTCAAGTAAATAGTCAGATGTGTTAGTCTGTTAATGAGTTTGTTACAGAAATAAAGAAATTCCAGAGCTTTCTTATATTCTTTCTAGTTCCTTCTTCTTCTTCTCGTTTATCCTCTACTCTAATACCATATTTCTTTTCTTTTTGAAATATATTTTGTCTATAGTTAATTTTTCAGTGATTTTTTTTTTGGTCAAAAGGTATTTGAAGATGTTTTATTAATGTTGACCTTGCACATTGTTGGGAAATTTTTCATATTTTGTTAAAAGTTTGAATGAGTTTGAGTTTATAAATTTGGACGCGATAAGTTAACTATTTGGTTTGGAGTTAAAAATAATTTCACATTGATGAATGTAACACAACATAAATAGCTTAGTGGGTTTTGAATTGCAGATCAATGGTCTCATATTCAAAATCCCATAGCACCATAGTAGTGTATGTATGATAAACCTTTTTCCCCCTCTGGTTTAGACTATCTCTTGTACTAAAAACAAACATACGAAAACTCGTTGTGGAATTTAGACACGTTAAATTTTGGGAAATAAGATTACTACCGTTTGCAATGCCTTTTCCCTTTTGGATAGAGCAGCATCCTCTTGCAACAATGAACATTTTCAGATTACGTAGGTGCACTTCAAAGTTTATTCTTTTTTTATATTTACAAGCAAAAATTTATTTTAAACCAATCTACACAGCGCGGATGAGGATTCGAACTCGGATACAAAGTGGGAAGCAATCCACTCTAACACACTCAGCTAAGGTCATGTCTGCTCTGAGTTCATTCTTTAAAGTGCAATATCTTACATGAATTTTTTTGACAATCAATGCAAATTAACTGCATGGATCAGCGGCATTTGTATAGTTTAAGACTCAAAAAATTTATTTTCTTTTTTCTGTTTGAGGAAAAAGTTTAGCAAATAAATGAAATTATTTTATTCTTTCATTCATTCTGGTAAAGTTAGAGCGGCCTATTAGAAACAATTTAGGTTTTTATGGCTCAAGTGGTTAAGAACAGTTATTCATGTGCATGAGGTCATGTGTTCAAATGCCCCATCCCCAAAGAATCCTCATAGTGAGTGGCTACAATGTTTTTTTGGGTTTACGATTATTCATCTTGTTTTGTTATTTAGAGTTTCACCAAAACTAAGTATATAAAACCAAAAAAAAAAAAAAAAAAACAAGGAGAAAAATGCCAAACCACATGTAGAGCAGTGAAGTAGAGACTCTCCTTCCGACTTGCTTAGCAAAGCTCAAAATGTTGATATACAAATGATAAAATTCTAATTTGCAAATAGAAACTAACACCAAAGTGTGTTGTTTAAAGAAGCACCAGAAAACAACTTCAAATAAGGATCATTATCTCCTGTTGTTGTGTTGCCAATATTGAATTGGAGAAACGTTTCTGTTTGACAGCAACAGCAAGTGGCTGTTAGGACAAGCTTTAGCTGACTACAATGCTGCAAAAATTCCATGGACAGTGACCTCTGCCTCCACTAAGCAATTGCTCTTCACCAAAAAACCCTTGTCTGACTGTTTCAAAATGTCAAATGCAACCAACCTAGAGCAACCGGAAGAGGGACTCAAGGCACTGAACCATCGACAACCTGCAAGAACACCAAAATTAAAACTAAAACAAAAGGGCTAATTAGGGTTTCAGAAATAAATTGAAAGGAGGGAAGTAAAAGAAGCAAAAATTACAGAGAAGAACCCCTCATAGAAATATATATTACATAGCATTAGGTTAGACCACATGCTTACCTTTACAACAAAAATGCTTCGCATTCAATTGATTAACGATGCGCAGAGTAAATTCTGTAAGTATTCTGGAGGCAGGTTCTGGATTAGCCAATGTTAAGTAAAGAGAAACATGAGTATCCTTTCCTTTGCCATATCCCTTGGGATAGAGACGTATCTTCCTGCAAACCACCAACAAATAAAATTACATTAAAACCAGAAGTAATTAAACAATAAGTTCATAACAAAGCTTAATATGATCAAAGATACCTACCATGTCTGTCCTCCAGCATAGAATGGCTTTGATTCCAAGAGTTCAGGTCTGAACTTTAAAGGTATATAAACCTTCCAAGGATGCTTGTACATAGCACTTTTGATCGTGTATAGGCGTTCTGCTTTGCCAGCTCTTCTTTCTTTACAAACAAAGACCTCGGCTCCAAACACACAAGTATCATTAATCAGATAGCCGTTGGAAGAATCAGTAAATGCATTCAGAGGGATAACTCTATCGAAACCCACTTCAAACATCGCCCCGTGCAAGCACATTTTGTTTAGATTAGCATCTGACAAGCGAAAAAAAACTAAAACATCATGAGCAAAGCAACACAAGAACTGGTCTATATCTGCTGAATGGATGCATTGAGAATTCTTTTCAAACAGATAGAAGATGTATAATGTATGCATACCCTGAAGAACCAAGTAGATTCCCTTATTCTGATCAAGTAAAAACAACCTAAAATCAACAAATACTTCCCAACCAGTCTCAAGTGAATCCGCTCCAGCCATTTCTAAGTAGACAGAGATGTGGTCCACATTCTTCTGCTTGTATCCATTTGGGTACACCACCAGTTTCCTGCAGTGACCAAACATGAAAAAATAATAACAATAATATTATTCATATATGTGCTGAAAATTAATCAAATCAAATCACAAAGGTATATCTAATTAAGTAGTAGATGAGAAAAACGATTTACCATTTGTATCCTCCAGCATCGAACTGCCCTGACTCAAATCTACCCGCTGAATGCGTCTCTAAAGACGAAAAGGACTCTACTTTTAGGATGTAATGAGTTGGCGGTGAATTTGAAAATGGTGTTGAAACACCTGCAATGCAATAATTAAACATCAATTAATATTCCTCTAAAAACTAGACAGTTCGGATCATTGAAATACAATGCGTGGAATATATATATATATATATGTATGTATATTGCTCTGTCATTCCTGTAGGTCTGATGCTGCCTTGGCACCCCCAGCTTCCATATACTCGTTTGTCTTACGTACCTGCAAAATCTGGCTCAAACTTAAGATTAAGAGTAGCCATGGCAGTTAAATTTGACCACCAAACTTGCTGATGCAGCAGATTAATTGATGGAAAATCTGATTAATTAGGCTAACCAATTCCTCCAGATCAGTCTCTTAAGTCAGTGAAGGAAAAGGTTTGAGCGATTAGAAAGAAAGAAAGGCATGGAAAGTGGCCTACTTTTAGGAGAGTATAAGATCTTTTCCCATGTACATGTATCCACGAAAGATTCTTTTACTAAGCTAGAGCCTTATCGGGTTGTTATGTATATATATATATGTATCAATTTGTTTTTCTTTTCTTTTTGAAAAATCTTTTGTCTATATATTTTTATTTTTTGGATGTATTGATTTGGTGACATGTTATGGGGTTTTGTTATTTTTCTTCTAAGGGGAGAAAGATTCAAACTCGGGTGCAGAGTGGGGTTTTGTTATTGGATGTGTTATTAGATATAATTTTTTTTAAGGTATGTCAAGATGTTTTATTTGTATTATATTACATTTATTGTATCAGTTTGAGTTTATAACACAATATACTGTTGTGAATTGCGGACACGTTAAATTTTGAGAACATGAACATGTTAAGTTTTACTAACAAATTATACGAAATAAGTTCATCTTTGGAATATCCTCCTGCAACAACCCACATTTTGCACTTCAAAGTTCATCTTTTAAGTGCAACTTTAGAAAAATAAATTAAATTTTGGTAAAATTAGAGCGGCCTATTTACAGTGAATTTTAGGCTTAATAGAATCCTTACAGTAGTGGTTACAATGTTCCCTTTGGGTCTAGGGTAAATCACTTTGTGTTTAGGGTTTTGGTATTTATAGTTTATATTAGAAAAATAATTTAAAAGAAACAAAAGGTGTTTATTTTATGATGCACATGGAATTGACTAACTGAGACTTCGAATGAGAAAAAACTTAAGCAAGCTCCAACAAAGCAAAATAATTTCATAAGGGAGGGTATAATAATAAAGTGATTTTAACTTTATGCGATTATGGGGTGAAGCACCTCCCTTCCATTTGCTTCTCTATAAGATCACTTTAAACCACTTAAAGTGATCGAGCCCCAAATCACTATACTGCAAAACTATGCTTGAAACTCACAAGTTTTGCTTGCTTTCTTAAATACTTTGCAATCATAGGCAAAAATCTAAAAGAAACAGAACCAATCACCAAATGCTACAAAACTATGCTCGTCATTACACTCCTGCCAAACATCAAAAATCATATTTCAATCTCAGCACTTTGCAATCAGAACACAATCTTGATCAACTGTCTCAGACCCCCCACATAATTGATACTTGTTTAAGCACAACATGGCTTGAAAAAGTGTTAGCTTGACGACTATAATCGGACCAGTATGCATTCCTGATAAACAGCAGGTTCAGAAAAACCTCAACTATGAAGACAATCCGACTTTGGCCTTGTGTACCCAAGACTGATTAGCTTCTGAACCAACAACTTTTCAGCATCTGCCTGAAATACCAAAAAGGAGGAGCAAATTATTCAGTGAAAATAACTAACAAAAGGTTTAAAATGAACAACCCTGTCCTGCATATATGCAAATGATAAAGAAACACACATCACATAGTCTCAAGTTCATGTGTGTTTCTGTAGGCGTTTAAGATTGAGCACAGACCTCAAGCATGGGGCTATTCTTAGGAATGTTGCAAGCCAGAATTATATTCAGTCCCGTCTTTAAAACTGTGAGAACCCCGGCATGTCAGACCATGGAACCGGAAACAAAAAGAAAACACAATGAAAAACTCAAACTTATCTAAACATAGATTGATAATTTACCTAATCTTCGAGCAATGCTCGACCCTGTATTATCAGAAGCCCCACCAAGTATGGATGTAACACCCACTGTACTGTTCTGTGTAAGTCATGGATACAAAGAAGTCAGAAATCACCAATGTAAAGAGAGATCAATTGAAGAGGAAACAAACACTAAATTATCAACTTACAGGTCTCATGGGTGCTGCTGCATACAAATGTCCCAATTTTGCAGAGTTGCAGCCAATCCATGCATATATCTACACTCAAAACAATGAGAAATTATTACCCAATTCAGAATTTGTTCAAACTTGTCAAAATTAATTGACCATGTATGCAAATAATCCGCCTAGATTTTTCTAAGCCAAAAAGATTATAAATTTAACGAATTTTCTTGCTTAATTTCGACTTGGGCAGTTCAATTCAACATCAAAATGGCCAAAAACTTCAAAATAAAATTGAATTGAAAGAGGGAGGAGGGTAAGGAAGATAACCTGCTTGGGAAGGCGCATGATTTGGAAGTGGAAAGTAGTTTCGTTGACGACTTCAGTGAAGCACGTGATCTGCACGCCACCAGCGTCGTCTTCGTTGCTGTAGCTGGGAGCAGCCGGTTCTTTGTCTTTCGAAATTTGAGCAGAGCTCAGAGCATGGTTTAGAGCACCGAGGTCTAAATCTTCTCGAGCCATTATTTACAGACACGAGCAGAGTGAGACTGTGAAATGGAGAAATGAGCGGGGTCAATCTCTCAAGGGTTTTGGCCCCTGTTCTTTATCTTGTTTTTTTTTTCTTTTCTTTTCTTTTTTTTTTTTTCCTTTTTTTTAGCAGGTGCAGTTGTTTTGTTTATATTTTTTTTAAGGACAAGTTATAGTCTAAACTACGGGGAAGAGGAGGGGGTTCAAATCTGAGTTTCTCTCATACACACACAAATAAGTGTCATGAGGTTCGAATTTGAGACCTCTGGTATGTAAGTTGTGGGAGCAAATATTTTCGTCTCCAATCAGAGCACGTCACGTGGAAAAGAAGATTATCTCTTAAATTAATTAATTAAACCATTTATTGATGATCTGCACGCCACCAGCGTCGTCTTCGTTGCTGTAGCTGGGAGCAGCCGGTTCTTTGTCTTTCGAAATTTGAGCAGAGCTCAGAGCATGGTTTAGAGCACCGAGGTCTAAATCTTCTCGAGCCATTATTTACAGACACGAGCAGAGTGAGACTGTGAATTGGAGAAATGAGCGGGGTCAATCTCTCAAGGGTTTTGGCCCCTGTTATTTTTCTTGTTTTTTCTTTTCTTTTCTTTTCTTTATGTTTTTTTTCCTTTTTTTTAGCAGGTGCAGTTGTTTTGTTTATACTTTTTTTTAAGGACAAGTTATAGTCTAAACTACGGGGAAGAGGAGGGGGGTTCAAATCTGAGTTTCTCTCATACACACACAAATAAGTGTCATGAGGTTCGAATTTGAGACCTCCGGTATGTAAGTCAAGGCACTTTTTAACTGGACTAGATCCCGTTGGTTATTTATACTTTATACAAGAATTCAATAGTGAGGGCCTTATATATGGCCTTAAAGTGAGGCCAGTTCTCCTTTTTGGTGGAGTTATTTTATAGTGAGAGCCTTATATATGGCCCTTAAGTGAGATTATATCTCTTAACCGTTGGATCAAGCTACTCAATTTGATCCAACAGCTAACAAATTTAATCCAACGATTAAGAAATAGGGTCTCATCTAAAAGAGGCCCTCACTATAGAATTGTTGCTTTTTTGTTGTTTTCCTGGGCCTCCCTCTTGTTGCTTGTTTGGAGTTTATCTGGCCTCCTGGCTCTCTGCTTTTTATGCAGCCTTTGGGCTCTTAGGGATGAATTTCCAGGCCCAAAAAGCATTTTATTTTCTTCTCATTTCTTTGAAGAACGAAAAAAGAAAAAACAAAACAAGAGGAGAAAATAGATGGTGTGCAAAAGAGCATAACTTCCATATTATACATTATTTTATCTTTTTGCTGTCGAAGAAAAACAGTTTACAAACAATTATACAAAAAGAATTACTTCTAACTACAATAAATGGATTACAATGAGTAGCTTAAGCAACCCCCCCGCACCCCTTTCTTTCTTCACTCAAACCTCAGGATACAAACTTAAAAGGGGAAATATAAATTCAAACCAAAACAATGGATACAAAATATACAGCATAGTTTGAAATATAATTAAATTGCCCTCCTTGGCAAAGTTGGGCAATAGTGATCAGCAACATATTCTCAGATAGCCATCTTCTGTACCCACAAGAAACAATCTTGAGAAGGGTAAAATACTTATGCTTGACAAAACTGAAAAGTTTCTTGCTCCATGATCAGCCATGTAGAGTTTTTGGCATGTAACAGCCTGCTGCCCATCCTGCCAAATGGTTTTCATGTCATGCAAATTAGATAGGTGCTTAACAAGAAATGGTGATAAAGTGCATTGTTGTTTACCTCATCACCAGATTTGGATAAAGAAGAAAGTCCAATTTTATTTCTGGCAATCGAAATAACATCTTGGCCCCACACAGAAAACGAAGATACACCATCTGTATGACCCTTAAGAATTGTGGGCTGAGATGGCCAATTCCTGCATAAGGAGTTAAGTTTAATGAGAGCTTGATAGTGCAATATCATTTCCATGATGCTAGAAAATAGATAAAAGAAAAAGTACTGGATCAATTTAATGCAACACAATTTGGGCTCCAATCCTCATGAACGTCTAAAACTCACATAACATATAAGTAAACAAAGGGAAACCCAGGGAGATTGCTTCATCCAAATTATTTGAAAGTTATCATTAAATAATGTCTGAAATTACCCTCTCAAGTCCCAAATTCTTAAAGTCCTGTCAAGAGAGCTGGACACAAGTAAATGGTCCTCTGGTGCAGCCAACTACATGAGTAAATGGTAAATTAGAATTGAAATTAAACTAAAGTGAGGCTTTTCTCAAACTTTTTTGAAATACCTTTGTCACGTATCCATCATGAGCCTTCCAAGAGGCAATAACATTGCCACTCCTTGCATCAAATAACCTACAATGACCAGAACTCAATCCAGCTGCAATCCAAGATGGGGAAGAAGCTCCATCTGGTTGCATTTTGTCAGACCCACAGGAGCATATGGTAGAAACAAGGGAAGGATAACCAGACTCCGTAGAATCCCCCCTCCAAAGGTGAAGCTTTTGTCCTCGGACAACATCAATGAACCTGTAAGATTGAGAAAACATTAAAACCCGAAACTGCACGAAACGTTTCCTGGTCTATATCAGCTTGTAATGGGATATCTGTGCAACAATATGTATTTACCTGAGAGAACCATTTCCAGTGCCAACTACAAGCTTTTCACCAAATTCTGTCTGATGCATACAAGTATACAAGCTACCATCAAATGCGCCGGTCAATATTCCACCGGACAGTGTATTGGAACTGAGCATATTGACCTGGTCCAAATTGACCCTGGAGGAAGAAGATGGAGAGCTTGCACTATGTGCAGAATCCACAGATGGTTCAGAATATACTGAAATTAATTTCCCAGTTCGGCTATTCCAAACATGTATTGTCCCATCACAAGACGCAACTCTTCCACTAGACGACAAGACACAAATATCATTCACAACCTAAGAGCCACAAAAGCAGTTAGAGACATGTGCATGACCATAAGTATCTGAAAGCAGAACCAAACTCGGATCTGAAATATGTGCATGACCATAGTTCCATGGCAAGAGACAATTATCAATGTGATCACAAGGAATCATATAGTATGGAAGGTTTCAATTTAAGCGCATGAGAATAGTTTCAACAGAAAAAGGCAAAAAAGAAAACAAAAAGAGAAAAAGTAAGGCAGAATAGGATAAACAAACCTCCTCATGGCCATAGTATCCCGATACACAATTAATTCTAGTCAGCTCCCATTTCTGAACAGTTCCTTTGAACCCTGCACCAATCCCGGCAGTAAAAACCGTACATTCATCTGGACAGACGGCTAAATACCGTAAGGCCCCAGGATGAGCACGGACTGAGTATATGACAGATGCTCTGATCTTCCATGGATGTTCATCCTTCACACCCCCAGCACGCCCAAGAAAATCAGGCCCGTCCCAGCTAGCAGCTGGACTAGGGAACCAAAACCAGGGCTCCAATTTAAAATTTGATGTTGCTGCATGCATTTCAGCTGGACTCTGATGCATTTCAAAGAACCGTTTTTGAGGCATCAAGTTTTTGGCACTTCTAGACCCTTGTGATTGAGGAATTGACCATCCAACCCCATTGAGCAACAGCTTAGCAGGACTGTATTCAGAAGTTGAGCCCTTTCTGAATGCATTTCTTTTACTGAGTATAGTGTCTGAACCACTTCGAGACAATTCTCCTGTGTGTTCCCACTGAATCAAGACAGGTTTAGAATATGAAGTGCAATGGTGTGGGTATTGTGTTGGTTGTCCATATATCTTATCTGTGTCTATGTGTGTGTATTTATGTATGTTGAGAGGGAGGGTGGGAGTACATGTGAAAGAAAAACCCTCATATTAATGAAATGGTTAAAAGCAAAATGATAGTGTACCTTCCAGTTATGATACTGTAGGAGATATTGCTCAAGTAATAACCATGTTGCACAACACTGACGAAGCTTCTCTATGCCAAGAAGGGATGCAAAAGAAGGATACAGAAGCAACCTGCCAACAGCCTAGCAAATTCAACACATATTTGAGGAGGAATAGAACATGTGCAAAAATTATATTCCACTGTAATCTAGTAATTAAGCAGATTAAATGAACTGAGAAAAGCACTTACACAAGGTCCATACGACTTTCAATCAGAGCCCCATCAATTTTTGGCTTTGAACCCTTCAACCTTCTGCCAAAGGAAGTAGAAGCATTGGCAGTTTTTGGTGAGAAAGCAAGCTCATCAAATAGCTCTTTAAGTTGTGGCAAAACATGCAATGCTGTCAAATCCGGTCCTATCCGCTGACAAAATGCCATTAGGGTTGTAGCAGCAACCTGGACAAGAGAGGCATTATAGCATTATGGGAAATTACAACACGCTGGCTAGTATGTGAGATGCTTGAATGGGAACTTTGGGGGTAGGATGGAGGTAGAAGGTATGACACAGGTAGGATATAGAAAAATGCAGCCTTTGCATCTGGGGGACACTCATTGGACTTTTAAAATAAGTGTATGTGCATGCAGGAACAGCACCTGAAGCACTCTATATTCTAAACTTGTCTGCATAAGAACCAGAACATGCAGGCAACTTTTATCCTGCAAAATATAAACATTCTATTATTTCCAAGAAAACTCAGTTTTCAAATTAAATTAATAAGAATCAAATCCCATACTTCAATTAGCTCCTTTGCAACCACCTCCCTTGGCAAGAATGCAACTAGGCCATCTATTGTCATTAAACAATCAATAAGAGCGAAAGCACTCCAGCTGTGGACAGGCTCAGGTTTATTCATACGTGAAATGTCAATGCAGGAATGAAATACATGTTTTAGCAATGGTAGCATCTGTCTGACGATGAAGCTCTCTCCCAATAGACCACCTGGAAATTGAAAAAATAAAACGCTTACAAGAAGAACGTGCCAATTCAAGGAAACATTATTTCACAATTCATTGAACAAGAATACCAATTCGAACCAGCACGTCAATTCCATCACTACTGAGACCTTTCCCAAAGCATTGAATCAGAGGCAAGATTGTCTGGGGCAAGAATGATAGTTAGCGTGATAATCCCAGTGAAAAAATTACACTTCTATGAGTGTTTGAATGTCTTTGTCTAAGACAGATTTGCATAATTTTTATTTTATTAAGTCACAAAAGCAAGAGTGTTGGGGTTGGTTTAACCTGATGAGTGGTAATAGGTATACCAAGCTCTTCACTTGAGACAATCAGCAGCACGGAAGCGGCAGCTGCTGAACTCTTATGAGCAGCAGCATACAAGTTCAAAATCACAAGAGGATGTACAGTTTCTAGATATGCTTGTTTGCCAGTTTGATTCCATATCTCTTGAACAAAAGAGTCTTGTAGAATAGAAACCTTTAGGTGTGAATAACCTGTAGTCTGAAACACAGACCTCTATAAGAAAGAGGTTCAAAAGAAAGTTTCACATAAAAATGAAAAAATAAAGCTCAAAACTTGCCTGTAAAATCCTCTGGATGGCAGGCAAGACTATTCGTTTCACTGCTTTAGGTGTCAAATTTTTGATAAATTCTTTCAGTAATGTATAGGCCCATTCAGCTTCAGTATCTGATAAAGGAGTCACCACAAGCGATAAGCAATAAGGAGCACACATTTCAGCAGCAAATGTTCCCATTGCCTTCAGGACTCCTTGCTTTGCAAAATTCGCAGCATAATGAAGGCGAGATCCACCTTTAGCCAGAAGCTGGAGGGGAGCAAGAAACAAGTAGGATGCCTTGACTGTGGTAGGAAAATAAGGTGATTCCAAAAGACACTTAGCCGATGGTCTCCTAATTTTTGTTACCCAGAGAGAGAGAGTGAGAGAGGGCAAGGGAAAATGCATAGCCCTATAATACCTCATTGTATTCACAACTTGGAATAACATATAGTATCGAAATTAAAAATCAGAATAACTAATACCTCATGCAATCCTTTTGAATGCAGGCTTCGACAAGTAATCTGGTGTGAGGAGGAAGTTCATGTATCAGTCCAGGTAATAAACCACTGTTCAAGTACACGGCCAATGAGGTTGGATCAAAAAGTGGCTTCCTCAAATGAAGTTCTGCTAAGAGACAACCAACAGAAAATATGTCCCTTGCAATTTCTTCAGAAAACGTCTTTGAACATGATGATTTCTGTCTCCAAAGCAATAGCTCTTGATATCCACTGGAACCTTCATCCAACACCTCAACATGCTCAAGAAGATAATTTGTATCAATATGTCGCAACCACTGGTTTTTCTTAGTGTCAGATAGAGTTACACTTTTCTTAACATACTCGCCTGATGACTCTTCTACAGGAGCAATGTCCTTCACGGAGTCTAGATGGTAGCCATAGAGGGCACTCAAATGCATAGCATGTTCACAAAAGGCAGATGCATCTTCTAATTCTTGCAAGTAAGAAGTTTCAAACAGGACAGAACAGTCACTACTTAATTCATTCATTTTCCCTTGATACAAAGCTGACCCGTTGGTGCTATCACATGGTTTCGGTATTGCACCTCGACGCATAGGGTGAGGTTGAGTAAAAAGCTGACGGCGTCCCGTTGACCTTGGCATCATGGGCTCTGATGAAGGAAGCATTACATTCTTTGCAGCAACAGCTGCCTGACCTACCATCTTGTAACCAAAGGTGATATCAATCCAATGATGGAGTTGGCGTGAAACCCGATCGCTTTCTAAAGCATCACGATGCAATTTAATGAATTCCTCAGGACCACATGCCCATGAAGGTACAGCCAAGTCAGTCATACCAGCATGAAGTGAATGAAAAATTTGGGGATCGCAGTAAAACTCTGGAATGCACTCATCAGGGGTCCATTGATAGAGTCTTTGCATGGTAGAAGGATATTCATTAGGTTCATAGACCGAGCGAACAGCCATACGTAGGACACTCAAAGGTAACCTCCTTGCTTTATAACTGCAGACAGCCAATTCAGAAAGACATTCATCAGATACATGATGTGGGAACTCTGACGTTGAATAGGTGAAGTCCAACTGTTCATCACCTTTAGCCAACCTCCATTTACTCTTGTTTAGATCCCGCCACCCTGCATCTGAATTCTCATCAGGCTTCATGCTAAAATCTATTACCCATGGCATCACTGTATGAAATGTGTGGTCACCCCACCTTCGCCCAGCTAATCTATTCAAGATGAGCAGATACTCAAAATTACTAATCTCTCCCCTCCACCATTGTTTAAAGTCACGATGCCAGTCTATAGATGGGGAAAGCTTCAAATCAGCATAAAGACCTTGAGAAGGACAACCAGCTATAGAGCAACCTACCTTTTCAGGTATAATAGTTGTGCATCTATTACCTCTAGAACTTGGAGTAAATCCTACCCCAGGCTTATCACAAATACACAGCCAAGACCAGCATGATTCGGTAAGCATCACACTGGATGGACATATATTGCCATGGGAAACCCCTAAACCATGAATATAAGCTAGAGCAGAGAGTAACTGGTATATTAGAAACCTTATATGCCAATCAGACTTTAAGGCATCGGGACTATAATGCATAATGTTTTCCAAGGTATGTGGAGTTTTGGGAAGAACTATATCAATATAATTGGATGCCCTAACCATCCCAAGTACGGGAGCAATATTTGGATGCCTCAATGAGCCAGGGAACTGATTCTCATCAAACGACGGTACCCCAAGTAAGTTAAGAAAATTTACACTGTCTCTTCCTGAAGCTTTCCCTTCAATCAAGAGACTAAGTGAGTTCAAAATGTGATCTTCCAGAGACCTGGACAAAAATTCCGAAGCAAGCTCTTCGAAAATGGAGTCTGAACAAATGCCAACGTGAGTAATCGGCGCCAACCCGCTGATCACCCTCGAGCAAGAAAACCTACTGGAATGGTTACAGGCAGAACTCTGTAGAAATGTTTTCGTGCCACCATTTGATAAACACGGAGACATGTTCAATAAAGAATCCAACTTTGGTTTTTGGTCATTGTTAACATCAGAACTAACTTCCTCTTCATCTCGAGTCACTTCAGAGGAAGTGATCGTATTAGCAATCACACTATCACTGCAGCCTTCATAATTATCACCTATATATTCATTACTGAAAAGAAAAAGGCAAAAACCCAAATAGTTTCTCATTCTCCTTGATCATCTTAACAATAAACAAACCCACAGACTAATTTCGATTCGTTTTATACATCACCAATGTGCTATGAGTATCGTTGCAATATTAGTAATTATATCACAATTAGAAGAAGAAAAAAAAAAGTGAAATCGATTGATCTTACACATATTTGGTCAAGCAATCTTGTTCATGACTGGGCAGATAGCTTAGCAAAAACTGAGGAGCTGAAGCAGTTTCCGCACTTGAATTACACAACTGCAAAAACCAACTGCTTGAGCATTGAGCTTATTTATACAAACAGAAAAAAATGCAGAGAGATGAGAGAGAGAGAGAAGGGGGGGTTGGAGTTGGACCTGAACGACGGCAGTGGAGCCGAAAGGGAAAGCGGAATCGGAGAGCCCGTAGACGAAAACGAGCTTTTCGGAGAAGTCGGATTGAATCCGTCGGTGGAGGCAGTCGAAGCACATTTCGTGCGCCATGTTTAGGCTTCTTCCTTTTTCGGTTCTTCTTCTAGTTGGAAATTTCTTCAATTTTCTTCTTCATTTCTTTCTTTCTTTCTTTCTTTCTTTGGAGCTTTTGGTGTCTCTCTTACCAGTTACCTACTTCGCTTCAGCACTTTGATCGACAGGTGCGCGCTACTGGGTTGATAACTGGAAAAACAAACCAACCCCCAAAAACACTTCAACGCCTCGTCACTTCTGTTTTTTCGTTTTCTTTTTTCTTTTTTCTTTTTTCTTTTTTTCGTTAATTCACTTATGTACGAACACGAAGTTGTATTTACCTTCCTACCCATCTTACGGAATAAAGTTGTGTTTTTATTTTATTTTTTAAAATATGCAACAAAAGAAAATACATTGTACTTTACTAAATAATGTTGCATTCTTTCAATCGACCGAAAAATATGTTGCATTCTAGGTAAGAATACAGGATTCAAACTTCAAGATTCGAACTTAAAACTTCTGCCTCTTTTAAGATTGAAGCTAGGAGTGTCACTAAACCAATTGCTGGTTAGTAAATATTTTGTATATTTATTGTTTGGGAAAGTCCTTCAATTTCTCTTACCTTGTTTATAAAAGAAAAAGGTTCCCTTCGCAGTGCGTTTGGATGAGGGAAATAAACTTGGGATTTTGACATAAGTCAGAATTTCTAAATTGACATGAACCAATTCCCGTGTTTGGATAAACAAAACATTGAAATTTAGAAATTCCGCGTGGGAAAAAACATGGAATTTGGAGATCATAAATCCCAATTTTAAATTCAATTTAAAAGTCGTCATTTCTAAAATCTCAAGGGAGATTGAGTTTTAAAAGAAGATAACTTTACAAATTAAGGTTAAATTCTGTGTTTTGAAGCCGTCACCCAAACAAGAAACTTTACAAATTCTAGAACATTAATTTCCGTCATTTTAAATTCCGTCATTTATGAAATCCTTTATACGTTTAAATTTCCTCATCCAAACGCATACGTCAGTCTAGTAATTGAATGAACATCAAAAGATGACGAGCCATTAGAATATGAGAATTAGACAAGTTGTAAACTTGAGCGCATTAAATTCAACGTAATAGGGAATTCTCCAATAAGCAATTAAGTTAAGAATTAGTTACATATTTCTAATCGGATAAAAATAAAAAATAAACCTAAAGAAAATGGCTCACATCCTCATTTCTTGATGATTTCCATAATTTTCTCATTTTATTATTACTTTTTGTTTCTTTAAACTTAAAAAAGGTGGAGAAAAGGGAAAGGTAGGAGGGAGAGCAACCATTCATTTCTAAACAAGAACAAGAACACTTAAAACACAGGGAATGTATCAGTCAGAGACTCACAAAACTAGAAAGATTGGAAATTTTAAATTATTTCAGCTGTGGTCTCATCTTCCAGAGACAAACTCACAATGCACACTTCTTTTTTAGCCAAATCATAATACACACACTCTGAACCTCCAAAACTCATACAAAAAACTGAAAATAAGAATTCTTTCTTATTCTTCACCCATGATGCACTCAATTGCTTGCTTGCAAATTCCAGTCATTGTTGCCTCGGGCCCATAAACCTGCATTGAGAAAAGAACAAGCAAAAAACATTCATTTAGTCAAGCTGCTCATTGAGAATTAGGCTTGTCAGAACTGGTATCATATGACAAAACCAGAATTCCGTTGCATACCTCAAAAGGAACTCCAAGTTCCTCTCCCAACGCACGCATCTTTGCCAAACCAGTTTGATAATTTGGACCACCCCTTCTCACGAAGATATGCATTCTTGCTGCTTTTAGCTTGGATTCCTTTCATGTCACAAAAGATATAATTTGAGCATACAAAACAAGATGAAACCAACAAAGCCAATCTCTGATAAATGAATGTCGGAAAGTGGCGGTACCTTCTCTCTGAGGGCTCTAATGATTCCATTAAATGTAGCAGCAACATCTGTGAAATTAGCTATACCACCTCCAATAATAAGAGCTCTTTTCTGACCATCTGGATCAGCAGTTGCACACTGCAAGATGAGAATGTTGTAATGGAGTTCAGCCCCATACCCATGAAAGCTTGGACCTTTCTCTTCAAGACCATGACTGAGGCTGAGATTAACAAACCTCTGAGGCAGAGAACCAAGTTGGTTGTACTGAACCGGCGGTCTGAACGGCTGCAAACCAAGCAAAGACAAAATAGACAATGTTAGTGTTAGATACTCATGCAAAGGACTCATAGAAAGCTAGCTCTGTGTGTGTGTGTGGGAGAGAGAGAGAGAGAGAGAGAGAGAGAGAGAGAGAGAGAGAGAGATTTCATGAAAGGAGGTACTTACATCAATCACAACTCTCGCATATTGCAACACCTCTTCCTCATTTGGAGCTCCACTATACTCTGCATAATTTCCGAGTTCTGAAGCATAACCCAAATCTCCAACCTAATTCCCACAAAGATACCAAAATATTAGGATATACCACCAAACATGTACAAGGGTTCCCAACGTTCAAAGAAACAGCCATGAGTATGATTTGTAAAGCAGACACTGGAGACCAAAATTTGAACCAGCTGCTACAGGGAGAGTAAAGACATATGGTGAAACTGCATCTGGCTACTCACAGTATCAGCATATATAACACTTGCACCACCTCCAGCTACCATGGTCCAGATGCGTCCCTTTGGGTTCAACACGGTGAATTTTAAGGATGCACTTGTCTGCAATATATATACGAAACTTTAGCACGAGCCACTCTTAAAAAATACCATGAATCCTTATAGTAAACTGAAATGGATCGTAAATTTCTTTTATCCAAAGAATGGTTAGGGTTTTACCTTTTCATCCAAAGAATGAATAAATGTTTCTGTAGGACTTAAAACTCTGCCAAAAGGCAGTGGAAACTCCACGTTACCCCATCTGAACAGCATTACACAGATTTGTAAGAAGGAAATTCAAACTAAAATTCAGTAATTAGAAACAGTAGAATTCAAAGATTGCAAAATCTTTAACAGAAGCTTACTTATTGAAGTTTTTGAACGCAGCAGTGTCATCTAGCTCCCCCCTCATATCCAATGGATAAGGTTCACCGTTAACCAAGGTAAATGGGTTCATTTCCAGGAAGCTAAAATCCAAATCTGCAAACGAAATCAAGAATTCAAATAACCTCAGCAACAAGAGAATGTACATAACTATCATATATATAAGATCAAGCTAATCACGGTCTTACACTGTAGTAAAAACATAAGTTATCTATCTTTAGACATTGCATACCCTGAAATACAGTGAAGACGCCCTTTATGAAATCCCCAATTTTGTCTCTGACCTGTAACACACCAGAATAGATAAGACAGAAGTCCCAATACCGACAAAACAGTTTGTCAAAGAGAAATAAAATGCCGATATCAAATAGAAACATAGTAACATAATTAAAGGGAAATACACAAGAAATATACCTACGAAACTAATGCTCTTTATGCTAACAGACTTCGATCTACAACTATAGCTTAATGCTGCTGTAGCCAGTCAAGAAGTTCAATTTGAAATAGTCCAGTGGTTTGGTTTGGTCTTCATACTCAAGCAGTCCACATTCTTAAGCTATATGCTCATCTTTACTACATGCTAATGCATTTGCAGCAACATAACTTCAAGCTTAACAAGAATATACATGAGAAACAAGAGTATGAAGCAAACCTCCAATGGAAGAGTGGCAATCAGTGGAGCACAAGCCTCATTTGTCAAAGACTTCTCGGTCGGAAGAAATATAGTCTTAACCTATAAAACATCAAAACAAACATACATACAGCAATTAGGACCCAAAACCAAGCAGAAAACACCATCCTAATTCCAACACTCAAAGAAACCAAAATGAAAAAACACAAATTTGCAATACCTTGTCCCAGTTCTCTTCAATTTCAATTCCTCCACACTCCGAAAAGCTCAAAGTCGATCCAAGCCTTTCAGAAACAATCGAAAGGTAAAATTCTTGATCGTGAGGCATAAATGGCTCCACTATAAACGTCGTTATAGGTGCCTTACAGCCTCCCATCTCAACCTTTTTCCAAATTCACACAAAACCCATTAAACAAAACATCCAAAAATTCAATCTTGAACAATTGGGTTCGCAACAAACGATCAAAATCAGAAAGTAAAAAATCGGATGGCAATTACCTCCTTGCCAAGACGCTGCTTCACAAACTCGGCGACCTGAGCCATATCCAAATTGAGAGCAACAAGGCCACTCTTCCCGCGCTTCCCGAACAACATATCGGGCTTCACCACTAGCCTCGTCGACGACAGCCATGTCTCCGTGTTCGCCAACTCAGCGATGTCCGTGGACTCGGTCACCTGAGCTGAGTTGATCTGGAGGTCGATTCCGGCGACTCGTTTCAAGTGTTGTTTGAGCAGCCTCTTGGAGTCGTATTCTCTGATCTTCTTCCGAGCCATTCGGATCGTCGGATCACCGTAGCCAAAGAATTCAGGTCGGGTATGATCGAGTTCTGGGTCTGGTTTGGTCGTGTCAGGTGCAGTGGGTGTTGATATACAAGTCGATTTGCGAAGGAAAGAGAAAGTGCAGCTGGCAGGTGCAGCAGATGAGTGTATAATATTTGGATTAGATGGTGAAGGCACACGCGCGGCAATAGCTCACGCTTTCGACGTGCCAGGGGAGTGGTTAGAATGCGTGGGGCTCGCCCTTTCCCGCCACGTGTCTGGATAGGCGCGGTAGTTGGTGCATTAGGAGCGTGGCGGGTGCTTTAAGGCAGATAATGTTGTATTTTGGAAGTTTCTAAATCCTTTCAACGACTTTCAACAATTTCTTCATCAATTTCATCAACACTCTCGAACACTTTGAGAGCACCATTGTTTTCCTAATGGTAAATCAGTTATTACTAATTTATGTGTTATAATTTAGATGAGTGATAAGGTTTTCTCAAATCTCATCTAAACATGTACATAAAGATAGAGAGTTTTTATTGAGAGATCTTCATTTGAAAGACACTCTTATAGGGCTCTGCATTGTATTTCACTAATCCAAATAATATATTTTATAGATATTCATTCAAAGATCATCTCTACATTAAATTACTAAAATCCGATATCATTTAACCACTCAATTAAATTATTAAAATTTAAGTACTTTCTTGAAGCATCGTGTTCATTGATTTTGTTCGTCTCAATTAGATGCCTTAATGATTTTCAATTTGCATGATTTTTTGTGCATGGCTATACTATTTAAATATAATATATTTAAGGAGTATACCGGCGCAGCTATAATGGGGTCCTTTTTTTTTCTTTTTTTTCTTGATTTTCATTTATCGATAAGAGTAGCTTAAAGCATTATCCATTACAATTAGGCCATTACCCGATACTCTATTGTCCCCTTTTGATTTTTTTACTTTTCTAGAGTTATTACTTCTATAAAGAATTTAGCATTTTCCCGTTTAATACTCATACTATACACGTGCGTACGTATTTTTCAATAATACTTTCATTTTCCGTACGCATCTTAAAGACTCTGTAAAATACATATTTTTTTTTAAAGGAAAACATACAATATACATTTTGTACACATATGTATTTTTCATGTTTAATACACATATATTTTACAAAATTTACAATAATACATACTGTTAGGGTCTTTTTCCATCGGAAGGCTTGAACAGGCTTGTTGATTGTTGGACTGCCACAAAGTGGTGAATCAAGTCTTAATTGCCTTTTTTTCCGAGTTAGCGAGAACTAGACCTAAAGCATCTCAAATGATAAGCAAGTCCTAAAGGAGTACTTTATTGTTCTTCCAACAGCTGTGTGTATTGTGTTGACGTTTCCGGCAGCTCTGAAAATGGATAAAGATGATTTGCTGATGTTGAATAGAGATTGTATGAGCTTGGCATAAGAGCTTGGAGTGTAGGAGCTAAAGACCCATAAGTTTAGCAAATGAGAATGCTTGTGGTTGGCTTGGTGTTTGATATAAATCTGGAATGTTCTAATTCTCTTAACCATGTATATGCCACAAGTTGGCTCCCTTTGGCATAGAAAATGAAACATAATTAATGTGTTGGCTTCGTACTATTGTGTGAACATATGCCCAACCATAAATGGTTTTGGCCGTTGCCATATCTTGGCAACCATGAAGGAAAACTACAAACTGTATTTTGGCATTATCATGCCTTTGCCAAAGTCTCTAGCCATATGTTTCTAGCCATACTGTTTTGGCTTTCTTGTCTACCATTTTCTTTTCTCAATAAATTTTTTTTTTTTAATTTTTTTTTTTAAAGACAACGAGACTAATTACTTAGTTCTTTCATGACATCTTAGTTGTATGGCTAGAAACATATGGCTAGAGACTTTGGCAAAGGCATGGAAACATTAATGAATAGATTTGGTGAATTTTCATGACATCTTAGTTGTGTGTGTGAGTTTAGACAATGTACTCAAAAAAATAACAATTCTCTTTTTCCATACTATTATTAATACATCAAGATTCAACTAATTTAATAAGGGTTATAACATAGACATTATTAATGAATAGATTTGGTGAATTTCCTTAAAAATATTAATTTTTTACACAAGTCTAAACTATTCTAAAATACAAAAGAGAGAATCTAACTCTGGTGAAAAGGGGCTCGCACACTGCCTTATCTAAATGGTCTAACCCATATATGCTAACAAGATTAGTTGCTCATGTTCTTAAACTTGTCAAGAAAAAAATCAGAAGTTTGACATCAAGGAAGGAGTTTTGAAATAATAATGAAGAAACATCATATAATGATGACATTAGATAAATGTAATGATGCTGAAACAAAACTTATGATATATGAGAGCCGATTCTATTAATTTACTGACAAACAGTACGAGAATATGAAATCCCAAGCATTTAAAATGATCTCAAATCAAATTATCCTACCTCATAAAATAGTTTTAAATTTGAGTATGCAACTTTATTAAAATTGCTTAAAAATGATTTAACTCTTAACTTTTTGTTGTGATTTTTTTTGGAGTTAATTTTTACTCATACCTTTGTGATTTATTTTTTTGAACAAATTAAAATAATAAAAAAAATCAAAATTCAACAAACACAATTTTATTTCACTTAAAAAATGAAACATTAAATAAAAATGATGCAATAACAAAAATTGAAGCAGCAGCACACAAAAAACAAAAAACAAAGAAAACAAAGATGGAATTGATCTTTCTCTCACTCCCACTAAGTACTAACTATTCGGACACGGTCTCTCTCTCTCTCTCCCGTATTAACTCTCGCACAGTAAGCCGTTGGATGTCAACGGTACTATTATCTGGGCCGTTGGATGTCAAAGTTAAAAGTTGACAGGCAGCACTACTTCCTTAATTACCACAACCGAGAACCGACTCCCCGAATTTCTCTAAAATTAAAAAGAAAAGAAAAGAAAAGGAGTTTCCAGATTACGTGAGTGAGATGCTCAAAGTTAAAAGTTGAGAGGCACTAGTTGTTTAATTACCACATTGATTCCGTGAGTGAAATGCTCGCCAAGGAAACTTATAAATAGCAGTGAGTGAGTGAGTGAGATGCTCTGTGAGTGTGAGTGTTTGCAACAAAACAGAGAGAAAAACTTCACTTGAAACTTGATTTCTCTTCTACTCTCTCTTTTCTTTTGTTCGTTAATTAGCAGCATTCTTGTGTTGGTTAATTAGCAATGGAAGAGTCTCTTGTGCCGTTAGGTTTTCGTTTCAGCCCCTCCGATGAAGAGATTGTGGATTCCTTTCTCTACCCGTTTTTGGTAGAGAGCAAGCCCTTCATGTCGCTATACAACAATTTCATCCATTCCTGCAATCTCTTCGGCAACAACACAGAGCCTTCCGAGATTTGGAAAAAATACGGAGGGCCGCAACTCGTTGATACAGACTTGTACTTCATCTCCAAGCTCAACAAGTTAACCCCCAAGCGGATGGATCGAAGGATTGGCAACGGGGGTACTTGGAGCGAAACTGAATCCTCCAAATTGGTTCATGAAAAGGTCTCTGGAAATCCCAACCCAAACCCCATTGGCCGAAAGAGAAAGTTTCGCTACGAGAATAAAGGTTCCGAGGATCACACAGGGTGGCTACTAGATGAATATAGTCTTTTCGATGGTCCCAAGAATGACTACAATCAACGTAGTTACGATTTTGATTTCGTCATTTGTCGGATGAGGAAGAACGATAGGGTTGGGATCAAGGCAACAAATCTAAAGCGTGGATCACAAGATACAGAAGAAAAGAAGATGAACACAAACAAAAAGATGAAAAAAGATGATCAAATGGGATCAACAGAATCATCATCTCAACAAGGCTGCTCTTCTAGTCCAATTGGTGGTGATCTTGTGGAATTTGATCCGATTGATCTGACAATCTTTGAGGAAAATACGATGGCCAACATGGAACAACTACTTGGTGAAGCTTGGAGCCCAAGTAATTTTGAGGATGCAGTCTCTTATGATGTTGATCCGATTGGTGAAACCCAAATTAACTTTGCGAATGAGGAAAATACGATGGCCAACATGGAACAACTACTTGGTGAAGCTTGGAGCCCAAGTAATTTTGAGGATGCAGTCTCTTATGATGTTGATCCGATTGGTGAAACCCAAATTAACTTTGCGAATGAGGAAAATACGATGGCCAACATGGAACAACTACTTGGTGAAGCTTGGAGCCCAAGTAATTTTGAGGATGCAGTCTCTTATGATGTTGATCCGATTGGTGAAACCCAAATTAACTTTGCGAATGAGGAAAATACGATGGCCAACATGGAACAACTACTTGGTGAAGCTTGGAGCCCAAGTAATTTTGAGGATGCAGTCTCTTATGATGTTGATCCGATTGGTGAAACCCAAATTAACTTTGCGAATGAGGAAAATACGATGGCCAACATGGAACAACTACTTGGTGAAGCTTGGAGCCCAAGTAACTTTGAGAATGTGGTCTCTCATGATGTTGATCCGATTGGTGAAACCCAAAGTAGCCAATTGTCTAACTGGTCCCAAGCGATATTAAATCAGCTCCTGGTTGGTGTATAAGGAATTATTCTACAAGCGATGGCTGTAGCTCTCTAATTTTCAATGTGTACAGAGAACTGAGTATTGATGAATATATTTGTACCACGATTTTTATCGGCTTTAGTTTCTTTAATTGTGTACCTTTTTGAGTTATCAATGAACTGATTCTATTTGTCTAGTAAATTTACTCTTAATTTGTTAATTTGACCAAATATTGCTAGCTACCTGTAACTTAAAATTGCTCTAATTAACTTGGAAACACTAGTATGCCAACAAAGAATTAGCAACACTTCCAGTCTCTTAATTCATAGAGCAGATGATATGTGATATACAATAACAGAATAAAATGTAGCAAGTGAAGTGAGTAAAAAAGATCTTTTATTTCATTCAAACTGTAAGACTTGAACCAGAAGGCTATTACTATATATTGTGATTACAACGTGCCATCAGGCAGAGATGACAATAAATTCCTCTAAATTATTCGACCAAACCATAAAATCATCAAACATATATGTACACTTGTTTGATTGTTTGTAGTACACATGTACAACATTTATTCTACAGTTGGATGAAATAGGGAGAACCAGTCA